GAAGCATGTCCAGCCTAAACCTTAACAAGGCAATTCCAGGAACAAGTTGCCTTTCTAACACCTGGATGTGACTTACAGTTTGCTGGCTGCTCTCTCTTTCACAGATTAAATCTCTCTTCTTGTCCAGTAGTCTTGAAAGTATACAAAGACCACACATCAAAGAACATAATTTCTTAAGAAAATTTAACATACTCCACATTTTGCAACAGTAACACACTGCTAGTTTGGGTGCTCAGTCGTGTTTATCCTGTGTCTGGGGCTCAGCCCCCTGGTGCACCTGAAGCCAGAGCAGCAGAAGCTGCACCCCTGTCAGCTCAGAATGTCTCCCTGCACTGACTTGGAGAAAAAAATTAGCAAGGTGTTAGAAGACCCCAGACCAAAACTTGGACCAAGGGGTGTGTGCAAGCACATGTAGGGAGCAATTGCCCAAGTCACAGGAGCATCATTACCTGGGGATTTCTTTGCACCAGCTTGAGCTCGCCTGCTGTGCACTGCTCTATTCAGTTATTTGCTTTTATAATTCTGCTCTGATTTGGGAAACCAAGGCTTGGGCCCATCATTCTGCCTCTGCTTCATAGAACCACATTATCATCAAGGCTGGAAAATCCCTCTGAGATCATCAGGTCCAACTATTCCCTCAGCAGTGCCAAGGCCCCCAAGTACCACATCAACACTGAGCCTGTTCCAATGTCTTACCACCCTTTCAGTGAAGAATTTTTCCTGACTAGCCAACTTAAACCCCTCCTGGCACAACTTCAAGCTGTTTTAACTCACTTTATCCCTTGTTCCCTTGGAGCAGAGTCTGAGCCCCACCTGGCTGCACCCTCCTGCCACGGAGTTGTGGAGAGTGAGAAGGTCCTTCCAAGCCTCCTTTTCTCCAGGCTTAGCGCCCCCAGCTTCCCCAGCTTCCCATCAGACTTATGTTCCAGTTGTTTCTTCTCCTCCCTGGACAATCCACACTCACAGCCCCCTTCTCCTCGGGGCAATCACCCTCTTTTGGAACTGACTTCAAAAGAGGAGTCTCATACACATGGGAGCAAAGGCACTGACCTTCAATCCCCTGATTTCCTGAAGAAGATACACTAGAAGGTTTCCCACTGTTCTAGTTAGGAGTTACAGGTCAAGATTTTTCTAATTTTGCCTAATTTTTTTTATAAAGTTGCCTAATTTAATTCCAGCAGGTGACTGAAGGTTTACCAGTGCTCCCTGGTAGCAGCAAGAGCAGAATCATTTTAAGCTACAAGAGATAGTGCGTTTATAGAATCCCAACTGTACATCAGGAGAGCAGTGTAGGTTTCTCTTGAGTGGAAATATGATAAAAGACATTTTCAAGCAGAGACAAGCTTGCCTCTTCCAGTCCTGTCTGCAAAAATATGTAGAAAACTGCTTCCAGAAGCCTAAGACGGACTAAACCTGCCAAAGGATGGTGTCTCCCTTCACACATGATCTGCAGTGGTGTTTTACGTGTTTGCAAAGGATGAAAAGGGCTCAGTACACTGTTCTGTCCTTCCTACTGGGGATAAGGAAAGCTCTCCATATGCCTCATGCAGCCCAAACCTTCCCAGAGAAAAACCCTTCCTCCTGACTGTGTGTGTCTGGAGAGACCACAGAGGCAGGATAGTCAACAATCATTGTGTGAGCAATCACTGCTCAAACATCCCAGCAATACCCTCCCAGAAACACCCTGGTCAACGCTGCTCTGCTTTGGCATCTTGAGATCATACCGGTAGGGGAAAGGATGACACAGAGGCATGGGCTGGGATGCAACAGAAATTTAATGTGCCAGACGAGATAAAAAGGTAAATCTTAAAAAGTAATCCAGTGCAGGAAGCAGCAGGGACAGGTGAGAGTTTGTCTCCCATGGCTGTGGCAGAGATGCCAGCAGGTGTCCACCTGCCTGATCCAGAGAGGGAGCAGGGCCAGCAGGTGCTCCCCAGGATGGCTGTGTGGGGCTCACAGCCCCGGGGAGCAGAAGGGAACAAGGACACAGGAGGGAGAGGAGAGAGTGTCAGGGGACAGAGGCAGGGATGGGCTGTGCTTCCCAAGAGGCCAGGCTGGCCCTGTCCCTGTGCAAGGGCTGCTGGGCTTGCTCAGCCCCTCAGGAAGGAAGGAGCCGATGCTGCGTGCCCAGGGCGGTTCCATCCTGGGAGTCCCTGGGTTCCTTCGCCAGGGCCAGCGCCAGCAGCTTCAGCAGGGGAGGCCCCTGGTGCCACAGAGGCCACTGCCCAGGCCAGAGAGGCTAAAGCCCCCAGAGCTGATGGGCACTCCCTGAGAGCTGAGGATGCTGCCAACAGCAGCAGAGGTGGAGGATCCCACGGCGGTGTTCTGTGGGAAGGAGCTGAGGATGGGCCCGGGCAGGGTCACCAGCACGGCCGGGGGCTCGATGATGACGGTGGAGTCCTGGCACTGCCTGACACAGGGCTCATTGCAGCTGTTGGCCAGCGGGGTGGGGCCGCAGGGCTGGCAGGGCCGGCACGGGCTGTAGCAGGACATGGCTGGGGGCTGCAGATGCACCTGTGAGACAGGGAAGAGGGAAGCAGAGCACAAGGAGTGGGTGAGGATCAGACTGTCACCCCACCATGAGGGACCAAAGGCATGAACTGGAAACAAGCCCAGGGGCTGCATAGAGAGACCCATCACCCTTCTCCTTTCCTCAGAAGAGCCCTGCCAAGAGCTACCCAAGGCAGATCCCAGTCTGGTCCATAGCTCTGGAAACACCTCAGACAAGCCCCAGCCTTTCCCCATGTTACACCTTCTGCCTCCTACCCTCACCCATGGCAGGAATCCATAAAGGACAAAAAAGCATGTATAGACTGAGAAATCCCATGGGAGGAGGAGGAGGATGAGAAAAAGTTCCAGACTCGCCTTGTTCTCAAGGAGATGGAGGTGAGAAGAGTGGATGAGAGTGTGAGGAGAAGGTCCTGCTTTTATACTGCTCCTGCACCGCCCCAGGCCCACAGTCACTGCACAAGGACAGGCCCAGGGAGGACCCCATGTAGGCCACAGCTCCAGAGACATCTGTGCAAAGTCTGAACATTTTCTTTTCCCCTCTGTCTGCATCCTTTCCTCTCCCAGAGTAAGCATTCTATGGGCCCCAGAATATGACAGAGAGAGGTATGTGCAGATACAACCCATAAGAGGTGGAAAAGGAGGACAAGAGAAAGGTCTTCAAAACTCACCTTGTTCCCAGCAAGATGGAGCTGAAGGAGTGGATGAGAGAGTGAGGAGAAGGTCCTGCTTTTATACTGCTCCTGCACCGCCCCAGGCCCACAGTCACTGCACAAGGACAGTAATTTTCCTAGAGAGTCATCTCAAAGCAAAACATTCTACCCAGTGGCACAGATTGTGGTTTGGTTTTCATATATTTTGCCATTTCATTTCCCCATTTCTGACATTCCCACTAAGTCATGGAGGCCTCTACCATGTCGTGGGGTGAGACCTACAAGGATTTCTTGTGCCGGAACACCATAGCATGGGCAGGAATCAAGGCTCAAGTTGACCCATGTGGAGTTCTGTACTTCCTTACTGCCTGAGGGATGTGTTCACTCTTGGGACAGTGCCTTCTCTTGCCCCTCTCTTCACCCCATGATGCACTTTGGCTGCACCCTTGGCAGCCTGACCTGGAGGGCACACAAAGTCCTGCCGCACATTGTTGATTCTGAGAACACCCTGAGCTGTGGCAGTGCTGCCAGGCAAGCCAGGCTGAGGGCCGTGGCCTTTGGGCTGCCTGGAGCTGCAGGTCTGGGCTCAGAGCAGTGCTTGAAGATGGTTCTCCAGCATAATGGATGGAGCTGCCCTTGCTGGAAGGGAATTCAGCCCTGCCTGGCACAAAGCCTGCAGACATCACGCACTCCTGGCTTGACCTCACACCACCATTAGAGCGTGACTGTCCCTGGAGATTTGCCTACTGAAGGCATTCCCTTGCCCTCCTGGGATGCGTCCCAGCTGCCTCCATGTCTGCAGGGCAAGGAAGTGCCTCCCTCCTTGGTGTAGTTTGAAATCTGGTTTTGCATCCTTGGCCTTTCTGAGCACAGCTCCTCCCTAGGCACTGCATGTTGGATTTTGTAGTGATTTTCTCTATCACCTTTCCAGATATTGAGACAAGTCTGACTGGCCTGTTGTTCCCTGACTCCTCTTTCATGCCTCTCTTGAAGACAAGACACTCACTGGCTTTCTTCCAGTTCACAGGTGCATTCTGTGGTCGCTGTGACTTTCAAAAGGAGTTGAGAAAGGCTTTGTACCAGTGAGGACATAACATCAATTCACATACACTCACTTCAGACCAGTGTGTTCCAGTGTTCCCCCACTGGATTCTGTTCTGCTTGGGGAAGTCTTTTCTGTTCCAGTTGCTCCAAGGAGAACCAGGAACTTCAGTTCCTGACAGCAATTGCTGGTGGGCAAAGACCAAGAAGATGAACCTTTGAGGATGTTCACCTTTCCTGTACCCCCTGCCCTCAGGGAAGCTGCCTCTTGAGTCCTGGGGCTGCCCGTGTCCAAGGCTCCCTTTACTGATGGCCTGTCTGGAGAAGACCTTCTTATTGCCCCTCCATGTGCTCTGCCTGATTCAATTCCAGGTGGGCTTTCGCTTTCCTAACGCCTGGCAAACATCCCCTCCAGAGCAAAGGGCATCACGAGGAAGAGAGTTGAAACATTGGCACAGCCTGGCTGCCTGGACATGCTGCAGCTCATGACCCTTGCAGAGAACAGAGAGAGAGGGAAAAGAGAGAAGAAAGTGAAATGTCCCTAAAAAGCAGATTATTTGGATGCCCTCTGACATGCGCAGTGCAAGGCAGGGACTCTTCCTGCAAGGGGTGTAGCAAAGAGTTGCTTTTCATTGCCCTAAACCAACATTCCTTGCCTTCATCCAGCACTTGGGCCATGTGCCCTTGCTGACATGGCTCTGCCTGGGATATCCTTTGCTTCTCATCACAGAACATGAAAGGATCCTGCAATGCAGGGCAGGAATGTTGGAAATGAGGAAATTAAATATGACAGCGTAGATGGAAACAAAATATGAATCGCTGCCACTATGTGGGATATTTTCCTTTGAAGATGAGTCTGTTGAAAAATTACCACCCTTGTGCAGGACTGTGGGCCTGGGGCAATGCAAGAGCTGTATAAAAGGAGGCTCTTCTCTCCACTCTCACATTCACTCCACTCACCTCCATCTCCTTGGAACAAGGTGAGTTTGAAGCCCTTTCTCCATTTCCTGCTTCTTCTCTGGGATTTCTCTCCTCATACCTGTGACTTTCTGCCATGTGAGCTCTAGCAGATGCTCCTTGTGAGAGGAGGAAAGGAGTGGGAGGTGTGTGACTGCTGGGTCTTGGCAGAAGAATTGCTCCAGTTTTGGGCTGGTTTGGGATGTCCCTGGGCTTGAGCACTTGGTGGGGTTTGTGTGATGGGAAGAGTCCCTGTGCCTGCAGTCAGAGCATTCAGCTCTCATTCCCAGCTCATGCCTTGGCTCCCTCATGGTGAGGTAACAGTTGGATCCTTACGGACTCCTTGTGATTTCCTTCTGCTCTCTGCCAGGTGCATCTGCAGTCCCCAGACATGTCCTGCTACAGCCCGTGCCGGCCCTGCCAGCCCTGCGGCCCCACCCCGCTGGCCAACAGCTGCAATGAGCCCTGTGTCAGGCAGTGCCAGGACTCCCACGTCTTCATCCAGCCCTCGCCCGTGGTGGTGACCCTGCCTGGGCCCATCCTCAGCTCCTTCCCACAGAACACCGCCGTGGGATCCTCCACCTCTGCTGCTGTTGGCAGCATCCTCAGCTCTCAGGGAGTGCCCATCAGCTCTGGGGGCTTTGGCCTCTCTGGCCTGGGCAGTGGCCTCTGTGGCACCAGGGGCTTCCCCTGCTGAAGCTGCTCCCTGCCCTGTGGCCTCCACCCGGATCCCCCTCTTCTCCCTCTTTTGACTCATTAAATTCTGCTGCATCCCAGCCTGTGCCTCTGTGTCATCCCTTGCCCTGCAGACACTCTCCCAAGGCAGAGCTGTTGTCCCAGGGGTGTTTCTGGGAGGGTGTTGTTGGGGCTGGTTTTGCACGGGCTGTCAGCACAGGCTGGCACTGGGAGTGCTCCGTGTGCACTGAGGGGCCCTCTGGGTTCTGAGTTTCTCTGCCTCTTTGGGTCAGGGTAGAATTTCCCTACGTTGTCCAGGGACAAACATCCACTTTGTTTGCACTTCTTTTCCTTTTCCTTTCTCAGCTCCACACTGTGACACAAGTACTCAGCAGTGAATGTGTTACTGTCCAGTCAGACGTACTGGATTCCCATCAGACTCCAGCAGATCCCATGGATCTGAAAGGCTTCTGGAAGAGCATTTTGCTTCTTTCTTACAGACCCCTGTTATCATGGGATCACAAAATGAGTTTTGTTGGAATAGATTGTTAGAGATCATTTAGTCCAACCTTCCTGCCATGGACAGCATCTCAGCTCCAGCTAGCCCATTCCAGTTTAAAACTCCTGTCCCTTCTCCAACCATTTGATATAATGTCTTTCTCGAACCTCCTTACACCACCCCTTGATGTAGTGAAAAGCTGCAATAAGGTCCCCCAGATCCTGCTCTTCTCCTGACTGAAAAATCTCCACTGCTCCAGCTGCCTTTCGGAGCAGGGGTGATGCATCCATGTGACCATTCTCTGCAGGGTAGCTCTCCTTCCATCTACCTCACAGTCCCTGTTGATTTCTGAGGTTGCCCCAAAGCAGTGTCGGGGCCTTGCACTTGGCTTCTTTGTTGAAGTTCCGGAGTTCCACGTGGGACCATTCCTCAAGTCTGTCAAGATCCCTGTGGATTTAAACCCTCCCATCTAGCGTAGCTCTTGCTCCCCTCAGATTTAGATCATTGCTGAGGGTCACAAATCATTAAGGCTGGAAAAGGCCTCCAAGAAGATCACCTTGACAAGATACCCCTAAGGCCAATTGTTGAGGCGAACCCCCCATGTGTGGAGATACGAGGCTTGACTCTATTTTCTCAGAAAGCTGATTCATTATGTTATATAATATACTAAAATACTACATCACAACTATACTAAAACAACATAGAGAAAAAATAATCAGAAGGTGACAAAGTATAAGAATAGAATAGAATGCATAACAGAATCCTGTGACTGCTCACAGCCTCGGCACACGTGACTGTGATTGGTCATCAATTGAAAACAATTCACATGGACCAATGGAAGATGCACCTGTTGCATTCCACAGCAGCAGATTGTTATTGTTTATATTTCTTTCTTGAGGTCCTCAGCTCTCAGAAGGGAAAAAATCCCAGGAAAGGATGTTTAATAAAATATCATAACTACAGCCAATACAGCACATGACCAAGTGCCATGAGGGTGCACCAAATCCCATTGTCCATGTCACTGGTGCTCACAGACACCCAGGGTGTCAGCAGCACCCTGGGCTGTGTGGGCAGGAGTGGGACCAGGAGATGTGGATGCTGCTCTGCTCGGCCCTTGCCTGCTGCCATCCCCTGTGTGGGAAATGAATTTAGGGAATTCTCAAAGCCTGACTGAAGGCTCACATAGACTGCATCTGTTGACGGACATTGTTGAGAGAGAAATGGAACTAGAAACAAGTTTCAAATGGTGGCTTTGCAAATAATACTAAAGACTTTAGAGAAACAGAACTATGAGAGATGCATTGTATTAAGACCCACCAGGGGCAATTTTAGATGAGTTGCTTTTAAGCATTCACAGCTAGGGGTGACAAAAGCTGATAGGCCAAGAAACACTGAAAATCTATTGTAATTAGGAAGTAGTTGGCTTCTAATTATAATAGTGTGAATTGAAACATCTGTATTGTCTCTCCCTTCTCATGAGATTGAAAACAGAATACAAGTTTTTAAAATGCCTCTCAGTTGTCCCATCTCTGGATCAGAAAAAGGCATAATCCAACACCCCCATATTGGGCACAGGCTGTAATGCAAGAACCACCAGGAGCAAGGGACTGAGCTGAGTGCAGGGTGGCCGGGATGGTGAGGAGATCAGAGCATTTGACTTAGGCACAGGGATTGCTGAGCACGGAGACAAGAATGGTTTGGTCAGAGCCACAAAATCATCCTTGGAGTAGACAGGGCCAGTGAAGAGGATTGCAGACACATGTCCCACATCTGCAGACTGTGGGACACTGCAGTCTTAAGAGATAATGACTCAAAACATTCCCCCGTTTGTGGAGACCAGGGTGCTTTGGTGAACTGGGGGAGGTGAGCTGTGGCTGTGTAATGGCCAGCCTCTGATCAAGCCAGACAGAGGGTGAATGATGGGCTTAGAATGAGACAGGTTGTGGGTGCTGGTGCCTCCTGTCACTCTAAGCTGCCCTCCCTTGCACAGACCTTGCTGGGTTGTGGGGCTCCCTCTGTTCCCTGGGGGAAGCAGCAGGACATTCACGTGTGGGCTGACAGTGTTCATCTCTGCTCATGGGCCACATTGGGCCAAAACCAAAGCAGCTCTGCTGGCTGTGATGGGCAGCTGTGTTGTCTTAGAAGGTGCTACGTGTCTCCTGAAGGGTCCCACGATCCACAGTGTTGCATGATCCAGTGTGAAGCTGCCCTCTTCACAGGAGGAACCTCGGCATCCCCACCTGAAATTGAGTGATTATAAACCAAGTAGATTTGATGTTCTGTAGATTTTCCCAGGGATTTTCACCCACCACTTCTTTGAGACTTCCCCCTGCCACCTGACAGGTCCAGTCTGTGACCACCTTGACCAAGACTGTGCAGCAACCAAGTCTCATCACAGAGCCAATGGCTGGAGAGGTCTTCACTATCTTTTCCCCTATCTCTCTTCCTTCCTTTTCCCTGGTGCATGTCCCTGGGTGATGTGATGCATTTTAATCTTGCAATGCTTTCATGTGGTATTGCTTTAGAGAATAAGAGCCAAAATGCCTACAGATGTGTTTCCCAGTCCAATCCCATTGCTACAATAATTCCTCTGCGTGTATTTACAAGCACCAATTAATCCGTGTTGGTTCTCTCTAATCAATCACAGGGGATGTATTAATAAGAACCTGGGTTACCCCTCACCTTCTGCAGTGGGCCATAAAACAGCCACGTGGAGAAGGACAGAAAGCAGCAATACCCCAATAAATCAGATTTAACTCTCCTGTCTTAAAAGGCACTCGAACGCCTTCTCCTTAATGTGTCACACAGAACCATCCCTGAGCAACACCTCCCTCCCTGGGAATCCTGGGAGACCGACCAGAGGGAAAGAATGACACAGAGGCATGGGCTGGGATGCAAGAGAAATTTAATGAGTCAAAAGATGAGAACAAGGTCACTGTGAGTGGAGGCCTCAGTGCAGAGAGCAGCAGGGTCAGCTCAGAATCTC